CCCTCCACCTGACGCTGGCGCTGCTGCGGCTGGCGGGTCCAGGGGAGGAGGCGGCGGCAGCGGGAGCTTTGAGACGGGCCCTCCGGGCCCCAGGGTTGCCAGTACCCCCCGAGCTGCGGTTCCAGGATCTGGAACTGCTGGGCCACCACGTGCTCTGTGCGCCTCCTTCTCCCACACTGGAAGACATGGCCCGAGCGCTGGGTCAGAGGCTGGAGGATGAGGGGCTGAGGGTGCTGCAGCCCCCTGGAGGGTTGCGCCCCCACCTCACCCTGGCCAAAGTGCCCTGTGGCTCTCAGGCCCGCCTGCCTGAGCCACAGGTCAACCTGAGGCAGGAGCTGGGGACCCAGCCACTGAGGAGACTCTGGCTGTGCCGCGTGGGGAGGGCAGGGAGCGCAGATCAGCCCCTGGCCGAAGCCCCTCTGGAGTCTCCCGCAAAGGACTTCGGATCCAGAAGCCAGGGGCGGAACCACAGGTCCTAGCAGGAAGGACAAAGGGCGTGCTCTCTCTCTCTCTCTCTTTAATTTTGGTTTCTCTTAAGCTTCCAAGTGGTGCTCAGTGCTCCAAGGAAAGAATGGAGAAGGAGGGGGGGAGAGGAAGGGAGGGGAGGCAGAGGAGGAACATCTGGAAAAGAAGCAGCCTGACAGTCCAGCTGTTTGCAAACTCATAGCACATCCTCCAGTTACATGGCAGAAGAGGGAGGGAGGGCCGAACAGAAAAGGGGAGGAAGGAGAGAAAATAACTTAAATAAACACACACAGAAAGAAAAGAGAAGGAAACATGACGTGAGCTGGTGATCCATGAAGGTGGGGCGGGAGGGGGGGAGGGAAAGAAAAGGGGGGAAAAAACCAGAAGAAACACTGGGGTGGAGGGAGGGCCACGGAGACAACTTAATACAACTCGAGACGAGGCGGTCCGGCCGGCGAGGTCCCGCGGTGGCCTCCGGGGTCAGCAGTGTGGGCGGCGTGTGGGTCTGGCGGTGATGGTGTCGACACTTCTGGGGTGGGGGGCTGAGGGCACAGTCTCTAAGCAGCTCCCCTCACCCCAACACTGAGGCCCCAGAGGGCTAGCAACAAGAGTCTCTGGTGAGGCAGCCGGGTGTTGTGCGGTCCCCCCCGCCGCAGGCGGGCACGGCGGGACGGCCTGTCTTCTTTGCCCTGGCCCCCCGGCGTGGGACGGGCCAGAGCGCAGGGTCAGGTGCCGGAGTACAAGCTCGAGAGAGAGAGAGAGAGAACACTGAGACAGCATTAGTGAGTGGACGGTGGGCAACGGGAGCCTACAGCCCACACCCCAGCCCTCTGCTGCTCCCTCCTCCCAACCCACCCGAGGCAAAAATAAAAACGTAGAAAAAATCTCTGTACAGACTCCCCGGTGGGAAAACGGGGACAGGGACAGGCTCTTCCCGGAGCTCGTTCCCTGCTAATTAATTTACAACCCAAGTCCATGGCTCAAAAACAAAATCCGCAAAGGCGGCGCTAGGGGCCACAGCCCCGCCCCTGGCCCATCCTCGCTGGTGCTCAGAAGGCCGACAGCTGGGCCAGGCTGAGGCGGCAGTCGATGCTGGAGTTGTCGGGGCCTGTGTAGGCCAGGCCCAAGGGCTCTAGGAAGGCCCGGCAGGCGGCCTCGCCCTCCAAGGCCAGCTCGGCCTGCAGGTAGGAGACTGGCAGCACAGGGCGGAAGCTACGGAGACAAGAGGAGAGAGCGATGAGGCAGGCAGGTGGGCCGGGAGGGCCCCACCAGCAGGGAGTGGGAGCCCCCAGGTGGGTACCCAGTCTCAGCACAGAACTTGCTGGCTCCCCTACCACCCTCCTCCCCACCTCAAGGGCTTGGGGGGGCCCAGGGTGGGGTACTGGCCCCGGACCCAGTCGAGCCCCCCCTCGCCCTCACTTACCTGTGCAGGGTATGAGAAAGGAGGGGACAGGAGGGGAGGGTGGCACCGGCTCCAACACTGAGGGGCAGGGTCAGAACATGGGAGGGATGTGGGGCTGACAGTGCTAATCTGGGGACCGCCCTGCTGCTGCCCTGCCTGGGCTCCAGGAAGCTGGGGCTGGCCAGTGTGGAGCTCACTGCGACCCGCCCGAACAGTCCTTTACCGCGACTCAGAAGACACGCCCAACGGCCCTCTGTGGCCCGGGTCCCACCACGGGGTCCCACGGACCAGATGGGAAACACTCCGGTATGGATGGGTGCATCTGCACTGGACAAGCGGGCTCCTCATCACCGTCCCTTAGCCAGCGCGGGGCACAGCTGTTCAGTGTCCCCATCGTGCTGGGCAGGAGCGACTGGCAGTGACCTCCAGTACCGACTTAAGCGCCAGTGCACAGCCCGATTAAGCATCTGTGGATCTGAGGGCCGTGAAGGCCCTGGACCACCCTGCGGACACTCTGCGAACAGGAATGCGCCAGCACACAGCTGCTCCAAGAGCTCCATGACCTCGCTGGGCCCTTCCTAAGGCTGCCCCTGCCCTCACACACACGCTTAGAAACAGGCACCCCAAGAGTCAGCGGCACCGAGCACAGGGCCCTGGTTCTCCGGGAGAGCCCGCCCAGCATGGTGGCCCTGGAATGGACAGCGGCTTTGCCTCCTGTCCCAAGCTGGCTCCCGATCCCCTCTGGACCTAGATGGGCTCAGGGAGGAAGGTGTCAAGAGAGTGAGGCCAACTAGGAGCAGGGCACACCCCTGCTGGGCCCCGACTAATGAGGAGCCAGCCTGCACAGGAGCAGAGAGCTGCCAGGGCTGCTCCCTCCTCACAACCTGCCCTGAAGCCTGCTTGACACAAACTAAATCCAAGCGTGAGTTTCCTAACCTCGGGCTGGCCATCCTTCCCAGCTCCAAACCATCGACGGCTCCCTACTGTCTTCCTGAGAAGACCAGAGAAAAGTCAGCCTAGTTGGCTGGAACTCACAGCCCCTCCGGCATTCCAACCGACTGCCCTGGCCAGGTTTTCTGAACCTCAGCGACACTGACCTTGAGACAAGATGGTCAGCATGGGCCACCTCGTGCACTGCAGGGTACCAAGCAGCATCCTTGGCTCCCCCCACCAGATGCCAGGTGTGCCCTCGCTGCGACAACCAACTGCATCTGACACTGACTGATGTGCCCTGGGGACCAGTCTCGCCACGAGCCAGACACCTCGTCCCTACTCAGCACGTCTGGCGAGTGCAGGGCACGGTCAGCAAGGCTCAGCGCCCCAGCCCGGCTGTTTCCCTCTACACTGCCAGCTCTTCGAAGGAGCCGGCTGGGGACGCGGTCGTGCCCGCTACCACTAGGTGTGAAACAGGCAGGTGCAGGGACCGTCTTTCCTACTTTCTCTCCACAGAGGGAGCCCCATGTGGAGCGGACAGAGGCGCGCAGAGGGCTTGAGAAGGGAGAATGGGAGCCAGGAGCCCAAGAAGGGCGCAGGCACCAGGTGCTGGAGGACACCAGGAGGGGGAGGGGTAACAGGGAGCCGGAGGCCCCTGGGCCTGAACAGAGGCTGGCTGAGGAGGACTGCAGGAGGGACAGGAGTGGGGAGGGCCAACTGGAGGAAGGAGGAAGGAGGGGCAGGGTGAGCCGTGCCAGCGGGGAAGCAGCCTGCTGGCAGGAGTGGCAGGAGCCCAGACAGCAGCCAGCGGCAGAGGGCAGGGGAGCTCAGCGCCACATACGTTTTTATCATGGCCTTGAGGGCAGCCTTGCGCTCCCGATCTGCAAACTTGTCCACGAGGTAGCCAGACATACAGGGTGCATGGCAGTAGAGCCGGAAAAAACGGTGGTAGTTGCCCAGAGCCCAGGCTGCCCTTAGCGCCAAGGCGTGGGCCACACAGGGGTCTGCCTTCAGCTCCCGGGTGAGGTACGCGAGCTCCGTGGTGATGTCTGGGGGCGAGACAGGCTGTCAGCCACGGGCTCGAGCCGGTGCTACCCTGCCCTGTCTGGGGCGGCCCCTCACCTCCCGAGTTCTTGGTGAAGATGTAGTAGAGGATCCGGTAGGCGGTGAACTCGCCTACGTTGCCCGGCAAGTTCTCGGCGTACAGTGACTTGAGCTGCGTCTGACACTGGTTGAACTCTTCGTGGTCGCCCTGGAGGGGGAGGTGGACAGGAGCAGCGGTTAGGCCTGGGCAGAGCAGCTGCTGCGGCGCAGGCGGGCACGCACAGGCAGCTCACCTTCTCCAGGGCAATGCGGGCGTGGGTCTCGTACACCTCCACCGTGAACTCCGTGCGGACGCCTTGCACCTGGGGCAGCAGCGAGAACAAGGTCACACGGGGCAGGGACGAGGCTGCTCCCGCCAGCCTGCTGGGGTCTGCCTCACCGTCAGGTCCTGCCGGATGGACTTCATCTGCTCACAGGCAAAGGCGTAGTCCTGCTTCTCCTGCCAGTGCGACTTGACCATGCACAGGGACTTCTTCAACACCTGCGCGGGAGGCAGCGGGGTTGAGTGGGAGCTCCAGCCTCCGCAGGAGGGAGGGTGAGCTACACTGTTATGACGCTGATGTCCCAGAAGGTAAGAAGAGCTGCAGTTGTGACCTTGGCGGAACGTGACGAGGGGCGACTGTGACCACGGCGGGATGCAGGGCGTGCTACACTGTTACACATCCCCACTCCCTGCCACCAGAAAGGAGGAACACCGCCAGGATGCACACTGTGAGCAGACACCCCTCTGGGCGCGCACCCTGCTGGAACAAAAACCGCGTCCCACCGCAGACCCTGGTCCAGTCGCCGTGGCATGTATGTCCCCCAGTTTCCAGATCGCAAGCCTGCAGAGGTGGCTTCGCTCCCCTATCCTAAGTAGGAGACACAGGCTCAGAAGAGCGAAGTGACTCCCGACAGCTGTAGAGCCTGGTTGCAGAGCTCAGGGCACAGGCCCAACCTCACTCAGCTGGGACATCTCTGCTAGGAGGTGCCTACCGGGGAGCCTTCGCCAGGCCGGCCAACCGCACTGCACCCCACCCCCCGTCACCCTCCCTGGCCCGGCTCCTGTCCTGCCCAGGCACTTACTGCCACAGGACGCACGGTGGAAGGGTCAGGGGCGCAGGTGAGGCGCAGGTAGTGCTTGGTGACGTCGGGGCAGGTGCCCACAATCTGCAGCTCATGCCAGTCCGGGTCGGCCCCACTGCTCTCCAGGCCGCCCACCTGCAGCACCAGGGGCTCCAGGCGCAGGCGGCGTGAGTGCCCGTGCTGGAAGCGGGCTGCCCGCTTCTGCTTCTTCAGCTCCCGCTCTGGGTCCTCACACTCCAGTGCTGCCATCTTTTTGCGACTGCGCTTGGTGGGGGCAAGGTCGTGCCTGGGGAGAAAGCAGAATAGGAGACGGGTGCCTCTCAGGACCTTACGCGCCCCTCCACCACACACCACCTACTGGTCTGCGTCTCAGGCTCCCACAAATGCCTCACCTCTTCCCCCGCTGTGCCCTGCCTCGGCCCCGATCCATGTGGGCCCCTCGGCCACCACGGCCCTTGGGGGGCGGATTCCGGCGGCCCACAGGGTGGCACTCACTCCCCGAATAGGAGCTGTCGGAATCTGTGTGCGAGTCACTGCACGAAGGAGCAGAAGGTCAGCTGGGAAACGGGCCGGCCCCAGCTCCCGTCCCCCGCCCCACCCCGGCCCCTGCCCATCCTCACCTTCTGCGGAAGTGGCGCGTTGGGGACCTGGAAGAGGAGCGGGAGCGCGAGTCTGTGCTGGAGGAAGAGCTGTTGTCCTTCATGAAGACGTTGCGGTTACCAAACTTGGTGAAGCTGCTGCCCCGCGCTCGGCCAGCACCCCCAGCCCCCGGAGTCCCTCGCTGGGACTGAGCACTCCCGCCCCTGGCTGCCGAGCCAGCCCCCCGCGGAGGGTGAAGGCTGCCGGGGGCCTCCCATCGCTTCTTCTTAGGGCTCTCAGCCACAGGCTCCCGGGCCAGCCTGGGGATACAGCAGGGCAGGGCATCACCAACCAGCAGGGGTGAGACCCCACTCCCAAGGCCCACCTGTCCACCTGGCCCAGGGACACTCTACCCCGAGGCCTTTTCCAGGCCCACTGTCCCCAGAGCACACGCCTGCAGAGGTGGCTTGCTCTCCCTATCTTGTAAGTAGGAGACTCAGGGAGAAAAAGGCGACTCAAGTGGCACAGTGTGGACAAGGGCACGCGAACCTCCGTGCAACGTGCGCTCCTTGGGACCCCATCCTTGGGCCTCCTCCAACAGGGACTTGGACTCCATGGTCCACCTCCTGACGGGTTTCCCTCTGCAGTTCCTCGTGCTTTGGACCCCGAGCCTCCAAGCCCAGGGCCCAGGCACCTCTCCTACAGCCCACTCCCTGAACCCCGCGGCCCACCCACCCTGGCAGAGGCTCCCGGCTCCAGTCGATGGTGTAGGCCGAGCCGTCCTGCAGTCGGGCCTGCAGCACCTCCTTGAGCAGCTTCTCGGTCCGGTCCTTGTCCTCCTCCGACTCGCAGGCGGTGAAGCAGCGCTCCACATACTCCTTCATGTCCTGCGGCCAGTCATCCGGCTTCCCCGACAGGCCTCCCCGGGCAGAAGGCCCACTGTGGGGCAGGGGAACGCTCAGCAAGAGGGCCCAGCCAGCCCGCTTCTCTTCCCCCTCCGTCTCATTTGGTGCCCACAGTGGCAGAGGGAGGGGTCCTTCTCCACCTCTGGAGGAGCGGACTGAAGTTCTATGCAGGGGCTGCCAGCGGGGCTAGCAGGCAGATGCTCCCTGAGGGCAGGCCGAGGGCCAGGCTGGGGCCAGGGGGCAGACATTACCTGTGGTTCTGGGCTTTCTCGGGGTTGGGCTGGGGGCCGAAGCCACTATGCTGGCCCTCCGTGTTAGAGCCGAAGCTCTGAGTGGTGACAGCAAAGGGCCGCTTCTGAATGTTGAACTTCAGACCTCCAGTCCCAGGGGCCGCTGTGAGGGTGGCAGAAGCCAGGTCAGGCCTCTCCCTGGCACACTGCGCATTTGCTCCAGGGACTGCAGCCAGAGGCCTCAAGGGCAGAAGGGGCCTTGGGCGTGGCAGAGGCAAGCTCTAGAGAAGGGGTTCTTAGAGGCACCACGTGGCCAGTCCAGGCAGCCCCACCCAAGCACAGCGTGTGCACCTCACGTCCAGGAGAACCAAGGGGACCCCACCCCACGCAACTTACGCTTCATGCGGCTCCACAGCTGCTGCCCCTTCTTGGGCTTGGCAGGCTCTGTGTAGGTGTGCGGCCCATAGGCCTGGCCTGCGGCCGGGCCCCCCTGGCTGTGCTGAGTGGCTGGGGCCGTGCCAGGCTGGGGGCCACTGTTCAGAGTGTGAGCCCCATGTTGGGGGTTTGAAGGCTGAGGGGGCTGGGCTGCTGGCAACTGCTGAGGGGCGGCCTGGTAGGCCATGCCCTCTTCCATGCCGGGGACAGGGGGCTGCAGGAGAAAGCAGGGGCGTGCTAAGGGCCGAGGCAGAGTCCTGGTGCTACTTGGCATGCAGCTCTCGACGTGGCCACCACTGTCCCGTGTCACTGGGAGGAACCCTGGGCAACCCTCTGAGGTATGTGTGACCACCAAGAGCCCTCCTACATGATGGGCTTGAACACCTGCAGCCCACTTGAGACGCCTGCAGCCCACTTGAACATCCCAGCCCACTTGAGACGCCTCCTTCCCTGCCTGCACGCTGCAAGGCTGCCGGGCCGAAGCGTTACCTGGTTCAGAGTTCCCTGGTGCTGGGGGGCTGAGGGCTGCTGGGCTGCAGAGGAGCCATAGGAGCCAGTCATCCCGTACTGGGAGGGGGAGCCGTAGCTCTGGTACACACTCTGCTGAGACACAGGAAGAGAGGTTGGTGCCGACCGGGGGTGGGGTAGGGTGTGGGGGGTCTTGCTTGGGAAGCACATACAGCCCAGAGCACTCCACTGACACCCTGACCTTCTCTCTTCTACGGTATAAATGCGATCGGTGAATTTGTCTGCATATTAGAGAAAGAAAAAGGGTGAAAGGAACAGAAGCCTGATCAATCCTACATGTCCCCTAGAGCAAAGCTCGAAGAACCTTTCACAAATTCTCACTGAATTTAAACACTACGACAGAACAATAAGAAAAAAGCAAAGATGGTGAGGATGGGGGGACAGCAGGTGGCAATGGTGGTTAAGGTGCTGGACTCCCACATGGCCAACCACTCTCTCTGTCTCTCTCTCTGGTGAGCACACATTCCCTACAGCAAATTAAAAGATGATAGTAATAAAACTAAATAGGTTTTAAAAAAATGTGAAAACCCATGCTTCTGTGAAGCTTATAATCAAAAACACATGCAGTTGTACAAACACATGTCACAAGTCAAACAATAAATTCCACAGCATGGATAAAGCAAAGGGAACAGAAGAGGCGAACAAACAGGTGCTCAGGGAGAGGCCTCTGGAGGCGGCCTCTGAGCAGACCTCCGAGGGCGTAGACAGGCGTGAATGACACGGCGTGTGCTCACGTCGAGCAGGTCTTGGCAATACGGGAACAAGCGTGAGAGAAGCGGGGTCAGCCTGGGTGTGAGACTTTGGGAGCCACAGGAGGGGCCCTGGACTCCGCGTCTGGGTGACGAGCCAGCAGAGGGTCCCCCGTGCCCTGCACACCCGCGGGCAGCCAGCCATAGGAGAGCTATGCTGCGAGCACTCACCATGGGGTAATAGTAGCCGTAGGGGTAGGCGTAGTTGTACTGCTGGTACCACTGGTAGTACTGCTGCTGCTGCAGGGCTGAGGCTTCCGCCTGCGACACGTACTGCGGACAGAGGGCCCTGCGCAGTCAGCCTGCACAGCCAGAGCCCCCGAGCTCAGGCCTCTCTGCCACTGGTTAAATGCCAAGGAGTGGGCCTGGCTCCATGTCTCTAGCATATATGCAAGGATCTTAGGGATCAAGGGCATGGTCTCCCTCCTTGGGACCCCTTCACACCCTGGGTTCCTCAGGGAAATAGATCTCTCTTCTCTTGCCAGATGCAGATCCCTGAGAACACCTTTCTACGTTCCCCTCAGAGCACCTCAACCTAGCACAACAAGAGGACGCCAAGCCATATCCTTCCAGCACCCCCTCAGCCAGGATGCTCAGGCCGTGTGGCCTCCTTACCTGTGCACTGGTGACCGGCCCATTGCTGCTGGCCTTGGAGCTGCCAGCGGCTCCTGCTTTACTGATGCTGGCCAGGGCCTGGCGGGCTTTCTCCCACTCTGGGTTCTCGTGCATGGGGGTCTCAATGCCATTCTCTCTGCCTGCCCCAGCCACCATGCTGTACTGAGAGGACCTAAAGAAAAGGGGTGTCCATCAGCCTGTTTTGCTGCTACACACGGGCGGGCAGGAGGGCAGAGGCAAGCACTAGGCCAGTGCCGTGGCCCGCGCCGGACAACCTCCCAGAGCCCACGTGCTCTGACCTAGGCTACTCTGGTGACCACACCTGCTTCCGACTCTTCATGACAGAGCAGTCACGACACACAGACACCCTGGGATTCCCAGCATCCCCACACCTAATACAGGACCTGGCCCTTGTAGGTCTGAGTGTTTCGTGAACCAGCGAATTCTGGTACTACCCCAGTCAGCAGGATATCATATACTTTTGGGA